TTGTTAGTGCTTCGGGGCTGAAATGTCCAAGCTGTCGGATGCTGCTATCATAAAAAGAAAAAGAAAAGAAAAAACTCGTGATTATACTTCTGAATTCATCATGAAAATTTTTATATATCCTTTATAAATTATGTGTAGAGATTCTCACGATGTCTGAATAACTTCATAAATTATACTCATGGCGATGGATTTAACCTCTTATAGTGATATTCGTGAGTGAAAAATAAGGCAGTAACATTTATATGGGTAGTAGTAATCAGAGGATCATATATAATACCATCGTCTCGTCATCTTGTCAAAGCATCAAAAGTTATAAAACTTTATTACCACAATATCTTTCAAACGACCTTTTTTAACAATTTTCGAAGAGGTTTTTAATTTTTTATTGAAAATAATGAAGAAGTGTTATGAGCTATTAGAAATGATTGTGCCACAATCAAATGTCAAATTCCAAATTGTTTGATACACTGAGTAAATTCGCAAAGTGAATTTGCGACCGTGACCCTTTGGATTAGGTTAGGCACAACGGCCAATATACATTTCCAGTTGGCTAATAGAGATATTGAGATTGTTGTTATAGTAATTTCTAACAGCCTGTCTTATCTAAGTCCTTCCAGATGGTACTGCCAACCTCGTATTAATGTGCATACCTTGAACGTTTTCAACTTTAATCACAAGATCAATATTAATGGATACATGCTCTAATCGGCACAATTTAGATGACATTCATGAGACATGATGATACGAAATCAGATTTCAAATACAATTCGTAATTATGTAGATTCGAAATTAAGGTTAATTAAAAATTATTTTGGTATAGGACTAAGTTGTTAACAGCTCTCATTAAAACTGCTAAATAGGACTTGTCTTGTTTATTAGATTATTGCGTTTACGATATTGTGGATTTACATCTGCCCTTTTCTTAGCCCATAATTTCATTCAATCGTATTAGATATAATTACGAAATAGACAGTATGGTTCTAACGTTTAGATTGAAAACAGATTTCCAATAAAATTTGCTGGTTAATTTTTTTATTATTAACTAATTTATTAAAAATTTCGTTGGATGGGGTATTAAATCATAAAAAGTTTTACGGGATGAAGTAACAAAAAATATTATTGTACAATGGCTAGTGATGGAAGCGATCCTATTCCTTTTTTCTGCATGCAACTCTGGAATCAACGATATTAGCGTCTCTTAATTATCTAACTGAAAATTATAACCGAAAAATATTAAAGGCAACTACTGTTTCTGCACACAATTTAAACAAAAGTTGATAGAAAAAATCCAAAATATTTTATGTGTACATATGAAACTATATTTTTTATGCATTTCGATACATAACCATTTACAAATATCTAAATCAGGGGTGCTCAAACTTGAACTGCTGGCGATCTACCTCAATATTTTTAGACTACTTACGATCGACTCTGAGAGGCTGCAAGTGTGTGTGATGCAGGGTTGTCGTACATACACGATACACCCTACCTACCTAGGTAGGGTGTACCGTAGCATTTATAGATATTAGCTTTCTGCACAATATAGGTACATTATTTTAGTCAAGGTTTGGGTTAGGTTTAGTTAGGTTCTTCTCTACAATATCAATGAAAAAACTCATAGTTATTCAAAATTGCGAGTTTATTGGTTGTTACAAAACAAAAGAGTTACATATGGTGTTAAACTTAACTAAGGAGTGGNCCATCAAGTTACAATTCAGAATGACTCCAATTCCTGCAGGCACAACATTTATATCGGCGTGAACGAAAGTCTCGAATGTTCCCGTCAAACGCGCCGCCCGAAACTAGACTGTACTGTCTCTCGTTGTTTCTAGACTAGACTGTACTGTCTACTAGTCTAGAAACAACGCGGCTTTTCTTTGACAAGTGCCGCGCGTTCCTTTGATAAAGCCACCTTTTGCCGCAAGCAGTGTTATTTTATTACGTAATACATTTTTGTAGTTTAGTTACCTACCTACTTATTAAAAATTTTTTTCTTCTCGAGATCTACTCAAAAAGCACTCGCGATCGACTGGTCGATCGCGATCGACCGTTTGAGCACCCCTGATCTAAATTAATGTGCATTTTTTAAATTGTATTTATTTAGTATAAAATTATACTTTTGTAAATCACACCAAAATAACTTGATTTGTTGCTTTCAGCTGTATTACACAAAATCAGACGGAAACCGGCGTATCTATTTCTAAGTTCAAGGAACTTAGCCTTGTAGAGGTATGGCGGCGTACACGATTTGGGCAAGTTCGCCAGATCGTCGCGGACGAGTACAGCCGGAAAGGTCCAGGGGGATGTCGGCCGGTGACCCAACCGAAGCACCGTCCCCAGCGCCAATCCGGCCCTCCCTAAGGACTCACCGAAGCGAATCCCGAGGGGTCGCGTCTGCGAGCGAAGCCTGTCGTAAACTACTCTGTACGGGCAGTGGAGGATCTTCATAGCCAGGGAGAGCTCCGGCTTGGCCAAGAACCCGGCCGCTTAACCGAGGGTGAGTTGCTCTCTCCGAAGTTCGGGAGGCAAGACCCTCAGCTCGCAGCACAGACTGGCCAAGGGGCTGGTCCTGAACGCTCCCGAGATTTCTCTGAGACCATGATAATAGAGCCTGTCGAGCTTTCTCAGGCGCGTTTTTCGGGTCAAGGAATAAGCCATACATCCATAAAAGATCCTCGAACTAAGCAGCGAGTCAAAAATTTTTAGCAGAATCTCTCAGTCTGCTCCCCACCTAAAGTGACCAACAAATCTCAACAGTGAGAGAGCTTTCCTGATCTTGACCTCGACGGCGTCGATGTGTGCCTGCCATCTCAACTTCTCATCAAACAGGAGGCCGAGGAACCGCATCTTCTCCACGTACCTCACAGGTGTGCCCCTCAGGCAGAGTTGAGGGGGCTATGGGCCGTCCTCTATCTGCAAAAGTGAACACACACCGTTTTCGAAGTGAAAAGGTAAACCCGGCTTCCTCGGCTATGGCAGCCACATCGTTTATCGCCGACCTCCGCCAGATCCTTAACCGAATAGTAGAAGCAGAGGTCGTCTACAAAGAGCATTTTCTTTATCTGCCGTCAGCGATACCATTCACCGCCACTAAGAAAAGCGCAACGCTCATCACCGAACCCTGATGGATACCGTTCTCCTGAACGTGCTCCCTAGAGAGCACAGTTCCCACCCTGACTCGGAACCTACGGTTCTCCAGGAAATTCTGGAAGAACTGTGGTAATTTGTCTCTTAGATCGAAATCGTGACATTTCCGTAGTATCGCGAATCTCCACGTCGTATCATACGCCTTCTCGAGGTCGAAGAAAGAAACGAGGCCAGAGCATGCTCTCTGTTCAAGAACGTGTCCTGAAAGTCTCCCTCCAGAAGACATGGATGATCCACCGCGGAGTGACTCCTACGGAATCCCGCCTGATACTGGCTGTAAAATCCCTTTGTCTCCAGGTCAGACGACCTTTCACCATAGACTCCAGGACTTTGCTCAAGCAGGTTGTCATCGAAATCGGACTATAACTCGTAGCCAGGCATGTAACGGTACGTTTTCTCTTATCAAAATGGCCACTCCTCCATGGGCCCTACCGTCCAGATCCGGCTGCACCTTTCTAGAGAGGGTTTTGTACCCCCTCAGTTCGAGGCGCGCCCCCGGGCTGATTCGGGTCTCTTGTAGGAGTATCGCCATCGGTACATGTTCCCTGACCATTAGTTGTAGCAAGTGTCTCTTATTATTTATACCGCTGTAGTTCCACTGTAGAATAGACTCCATTAGTCTCTTTCTGTCGGTTTCTTTTTTCTCACATTCGATCTGGGTCGATCTTTCTGCCACCCTTTCTTCCTCCGGGCAGGAGAATCAGGGCCAGCCGATGATGTTTCCGACCCAGACGTCATTTCTATATCCGTCAACCAATTAAAGCGTGACGGACTTGCTGATGTTGATGCGACCGCCGAAGGTGGCGGCAGCTTTGGTGGGGCCATGTTCGTCCCCGGGTGGTCGGGCTGCTTCTCACGGCTAGCCTCGACTCCCCATGCCGGGGACGTTTGGGAAGAGGATGTTACCATCCTCTTCTGGGGGAGGGTGGCATCAGCCACCCTTTCTATTGCCCCCGCCATCATTGGGAGGGGGGCTTTGGCGGCTCCTCCTGTAATCCCCATTATGCCGAGACCCAGCGACGAGACACCACTCCGCGATTACCACTCCGCGATTTCTTTTTCTTTTCCTTTGTGTCCATGTTACCTTCTTTTCTCTTTTTATGTTCCGGTGACTCAGGAGTCACAGGCACATGTTTCTCTGCTTTCTTTTCTGTCGTCCCTTTCGGCGAGTTGTTGGGGACTCTTTTCCTTTTCCCGGCTACGGCAACGAAATTGACATCCTCCATCATGGCAGGAGGAATGGATGGTTATGGTGGGGGGGGGTTGAAGGGAGTACAAGGGATGGTGAGATATGGGTCTGGGTGGCTGAGGGGCCTTCCGGATTCCCATGAGGCAAATCCTTCAGGGGGATTGGGAAATGCCTGGGGAGAGGTGGGAGTGTTGTGATGGGAGGGGGTGTTGTTGGGCTGGTCGGCCCTCATTCGGCGGAGTAGGCACTTCTACTTCTTGTTCCTTTTTTTCACCATTTTCATCTTAATTGGGTTTGTGTTTTGTCTGTAAGATTGTATTTGATTGTATGTGTACCATGTGAGTGCAATCCTCAACCTTTGAAGGTGCTCCCCCGCCCATTCGGGTGCTTCTCCGATCTGCCCGGAACCTGCGGAGGGGAGCACAGTAACCATCCAGTCGCGAGCTGGCGGTACTAGGAACCACAACATTATACTCGAGGTGATAGGACAGCCTCCCCGGTGGCTAGTCCGGGGTTCGGTCTACCTCTCGGCCCGGGAGTGTCGTAACCTAGTTTTCCACCGGAACTCTCACAGGAGCAGGTTTCACGGACACCCAAAGAGACCAGGAGATCCCTCCTCCAGATGAGAATTGTATGTTGTATTTGTTGTGTTTTGTGCACGGTAATGTGCGTTTGTTATATTCGGGTTCCTCTGCCCTTGGCCGCGTGCATCGGCCTGTGTATTAGTGGTGGCATTGTGACGGAGGCCCAGACACCGCCCAAGTCCCCCGCCCTCACTCCACCAAGTGTTAGGTGTGGCGGAATTATGTACGTACTGGGTCGCCAATCCCAGGACGTGAGATTTTTAGTTAGTCTCAAGAACCTTCCTAGGGACGGTAGCCCTAGGGTGTGTACTGTTAGTGTACTTATGTAGTGTAAGTGTATAATATGTGTGGGTGGGCGCAGTTTACCCTCATGCCCGGGAGGGAAGTAGATTTGTTGTTTTCAACTCTATTCAGGAAACTATTTCCTACAAAATTAATAATTATTCAAAAACGTACCTAACTAATTAATATGCGAACAATATTTAGTGATAATTAATTATATTATTCTATACACAATTACGAAGAACTGTTAATAATATTAGGGCGCATGAAAAAATAATTAAATATTTCCTGATTTGATGGGAATGCAAACAAATAAATGTATTAAAAGTTAGTAAGCTAATGAAGAAAGTTAATTTTCTACAGGAGAAAAAATATAATAAAGTCAAATATGCGCAAAAATGAAAAAAAGCATAACTTTCCGTTAAAGCGCTGAGGGCTTGGGATGACCATTTTATGTTTATCGATCCATAAATAATACATAGGAATATACATACATTAAATATATTGTACAGTTTCCAAACATTAGCTCAATCTTGTAAATAATCTTCGCAATTTCTCTGTTGACAGTAAAATTATGAACAGTAAAATTATGAACTAATGGCATGCTCTCAAATCTATACAAATTTAAATTTTGGTATGATACCGCCTTGAATTCTTCACGTTTTTACATAGGTATGTTTTGGGCCGTATGCTATATACCCTATTATCGATTTGACGTTTCAGAGGGTGTAAGCAGGTGTTGTATTAGTGTAAGTGTTAGAGACAGGTTAGTTAGGTTATGTACGGTAATGATTACGGTAAGGGATGGGTTAGGTTAAGTTAAATACATCTTAGTTACGGTAAGGTTACCAAACGAAATGCATCAAACCTTTTGCCATAACTTTATCATTTTTTAACCAATATAAAATCCGATGGCACTATTGTTTACAGCGTAAAAAGTGCTGTAAAATGATATGTCAGCATGTAATCGGTCTATTTGAAATTTTGAAGTTGGGATTCATCTATCCTGCATAATAATCCTCCAAAAAAAGTAAAAATTTGAAACTAGACTAAAAAAGATAAAACACGTTTGTTTTGATAGCGTCATTGGTTCAAGGGAAATTCAGCCGGACAAGGACACCCTATATTTACGACAAAGCGCAGAGAAATTAACATTAATATAGGAATTAACGAACAATTGCCTAATTTAAAAAATCTCAATTTAAGAACCTCCTGAATGAAGTAATGCACAATCTAAATTTAACTTTCACTACAACAGTGTTATACAGTTTCAACAAAGGGAGGGAACTAGATTGAATTGAGAAATTTGAAATAAAAAATTGAACATGGAAATTAATGCATAAATAATATAATTGATTTTGATTTACCCATATTTTAAACATGTAAAAAATAATGAACATGCAAATGAATTACTAATTTATTTATTTTTTTGCAGTATGTAATAGGAAATATTTAGTTGTGTTGTAATTCACGTTTCGCCCGTTCAAAATTTGGCGGCAATAAAATCACCTTCTGATTCTCTTCACTATGGCTCAAACACTTATCCAACTGCGTTAGGCCATTGTGAAGAGAAGATTGGCATGTAGTGTCCCATATTAGCGAAGGTGGGAAACGATGTTCGGGAACATTGGTGTCTCACTAGACTTATCAAAGGAAGCCAATATGAGCGAACAATCTGTCAATAACATGCCATAGCAATTATACAAGCCAAACACTAAGCTGCAGCAGCGATTCACTCGACCTCGGCACAGGAAAAGTAAGCAACTATAGGCCATTGCGGCCATGCTGGCTCAATCTTGGACCTAGTTGACCCATCAACCTAGTTGGTGGCCAGCATCTTGACGAACGCATTTGTTTGTGTTGGCCCACAAGATAGACGCACCTTTACAATTCATGTCGAGAGACGTGTTTGTATTCGGATAGGTATAAACTACAAATTCTGTAAGGAGCACATCATTTACATAAAGTGAATGTTCATGAAGATCCATACATCTGAAAGCTCGATTCGTGCAACGTTCACGTTCATAATGTTCAATTAAAGAAAAATCTATTGTATTATGAAAAGCCCTTGAGAAGAAATCTAGACTTTATTAAAGTAACCGAATTCTTTCACGAACATCAGTAATTATTAGAATTATAACTCCATAGACAAAGGCTTATATCCCTTTGACCCCGAATTAAAAAAAATATTTCAAACTGTTTTAACTTTTAAAATAATTGTAACATATATGTAAAAAAATTTGATCCTTACAGACATCGATTGAAGCTTACCAAGCATGCTTTGAAACAGTCTCCACCATATAGATGCAGATTGCAATGTGCTGTGGAGAGGGCTGAATCGGAGAAGCCCTGTAATACAGCGTTTAGTAATTGATTTAGAGCTTGTTCACAAACAGTCCTTCGGGTTGGCCGAGCACCAAACCTATGTCCCTACCAGGCGTCAGGTTCCCTCAAAATATTCTCTCCAGGACTCGATATCTCATTCGGACAGAACTTGCCTCCTATTCCTTATACATTTAGACGTCGTGCAATGTTTTTTACGATGGCATTTAATCCATTGGACCATTTTTAAAATAGAGATTTTACTAGTTATTGACATTTAAACGAATTTGTGAGCAACAAGCAAATAATTACAGCCAAAGTTACAAGAAATATTTCTCATTAAACACATTTTCATTGAACCATTTAATTAACAATATTTTGTTAATAACGAATGTTGAATTTAGGAGCACATACAGACAAAGCATAGGCAGAGTATGTTTTTGTTATTCTATTGTGATTAGAATACAAAACATGAACACGTGTTCATGTTGTATTGGATTCGTTTCACTAGAAATTGCGAAAGATTGAGATGTTTTTGACATTTAATAATGGTGAAGTATGAAAATCTTGTAATTCACTGATATTTTGATGAAGAAGTTGGGGACTGCTGTAACCTTAAGATAGGCACGATAATATAAAGAGAAATGGTCGCAGTAGTCGGATTGTACTGAAATTGTCTTCATACCGAACATTTTCATACTAGCCCGAAAATGAAATAAAGTTTGAACCGACTATCAGGTGTTCTACGTGTCAATTTCTATGGTATTTGTTTTGTCCCAGCAAAGAGAATCGCCACTTTCACTTATTAAAGAGGGTGAAAAAAACAACTAATAAATTACACACGACCTCTTCTCGCAATAAGCTGGTCGTGAACTTTTTAGGATATGAACATCATTTTTCCTGCCACCAAAAGTAGATTTACTGGCGCAGACCCAACACATCGAAACAATAGATAGAACACGAGTGGGCCTCCTCTACCACTGAACTGAAAACCGTGCTTTCAGTTTTACGGCCCTATCCATATCAGGATACTCCAAAATTACACGCTGTCGATTCTGAGTTTTATATGCAACAACTGTAACGTAAACTGCAATGTTTTTAATGTAAATTGTAAATTTATTCCTATAAGACGAAACTCGGCTAAAAACTTGATGAAACTGAGTTTTGGTTCGAGTTTATTTATTAGATACTTTTACATACATTTTGTACAAAGTGACTACAAGGGGAAATGTCTAGAACATTTTATATCCTTGTGGCAGAGGGCTTAAGTATATTTACAATATTTGTTGATTTGGCCTAGAGAAATAAGAACGGTAGTGAAAATTATACTAAAAGCCACTTTCAGAAAGAATACATTAATACGTAGGGAAGTTACAAATAATTACATATATTATAAATTATAAATCATAAGTCATTGACTACATATGTACAATAGATAAGTTCGATAAACAACACATTTCTTTAATATTAGCTAATTTCATATATAAGTTAATAAATAAGCAAGTTAATAAATATATTACTAATTATTATAAGTTAAAATCATTGAATAGACTTGTACAATACATAGTCTGACATTTACTAATTTTGGAAATAAATAAAAAAATATATAAACAGTAAAATTAACAATTTAATAAATAATTTAATAAATAATATCACAGTGAATAAATATACAAAGCAGTCATACTAAAATGTGTTTGATCCTCCTGTGTTTCCAATTTTTGTCGAGGTTATAGTTTCCTACATTCTTTACTGTCATATTTGTACTCTCAGCGCTACGTTCATAAAAGGAGCTAGTGATCCTTTTGATATCATCCTTAATGTATGGGATGTTTAAAATTTCGTGCATATAATTTATACGAACACTTTTTTTAGAGGATGTAATTAACCTTAAAAATTTATTTTGAATTGTTTGTAGGCACTTTATATTGGTGTTACTTGTGTAGCTCCATACCTGACAGGCGTATAACAGCATTGGTCTGACTATGGTTTTATATATAATGAGTTTATTTTGGGGGCTTAACCCAGATTCTCAGTGGGAATCTTCTCAGACTCCAGTGGGAATTTTACATGGTGGCGAGACAATTTCATTGGAGGTTACCCTGAATGTCATTTTTTGTAGATAGCTATGTATTACTCTAACAATGTAGCTTGGAAATTTGTCTTTTAAAAACCTATAGACAATACCTTTGTGCCAAACCGTATCAAATGCCTTCTCCATGTCGAGCAAAACCATCCCCGTGTGTTTTTTTAAATTAAAATTCAGTGTCACATGATCGAAAACTTGAGTTATCGTGCTTAATCCCGGACGAAACCCATGTTGGCATCAGAAATTATGTTGTTGGAGAAGAGGTGACGGTTTATTCGTGTCAGTAGTATTTTTTCAAATATTTTGCTAATTGTGTTGAGAAGGCTGATAGGTCTATAACTAGTAGGATTTGTTGGTGACTTCCAGGTTTCTTTATAAATATGACCTTGGATTCCTTCCAGCAGGAGGGAAAGTGACCGTGAGAGAACAATGAACTAAAAAGATGAGCAAGAAAAGCTAGTCCTTTCCTGGGTAAGTTGTTTAGGATTGTATTGGGTTGTCCGGAAAATAATGCAGGATTTTAAGTTTTCATTAAAAAAAATCTATATAAAATATTCTGTTTACGTTTACAGGATTACTCNTGGGAAATTATTTTGATTAAAGAACATTGCTTTAAAGTAACTAGTTTCTTTTTTTTTGTTTAATACCAAAATCCTGCATTATTTTCCGGACAACCCAATATTTGTAATCAAGTCAAATCCAGGAGATTGCCTATTTTTACGGGAACGTATAATGTATTTTATTTCTTTAGGAGAAACAAGAGAACACTGGGAGGGGACGGTGGTTGTACTCAACATGTAGTTTTCTACACTTTTAGAGATACACTTTTCAAGGAATTTGCGTCTTTGATTTGCAGTTAGACGGTGAACTGAGGAGAAATATTCACCCATTTTTGTGACTTTTTACACCTCATTTTTGCTTGGTGTGCCATCAAATAAAATTTGCGTTTCATGACTCTCTTTTTTATTTCGTCATTTAGACTGCTACTGCCCTGAAGTAGTGCCCCCCCCCCATTACCTTATGTATCAAACATAAGTTCAACGCTATTAAAGACGATGTTTTCTTCGTCATCGAAGTAGTCAGACTGGAAAGCTAAAACCAAATCCGATTCTCTTTTCTTAATCATCTAATACATACAAACTAAACTCTTCTAGTTACATCAATCTGAGAGCACTTGGGTTGAAGCTTAATCCCGAAATCAAAGAAATAGCCACCAAGAATGGAGTCCCTTGAAATCCGCCATAAGTATCGATTAGGACCATGTTTTAACAATTCGGATTATATTCACTAATTTCGTGGTCGGCTTGACCAATTAATATATTAGAATTAATTAAGGTTTTTAATTGAGATAAAAAAGTCAATGGCACGAGCGGGATTCGAACCCACTATCTTCGGCTAGATATGCCGCTGCTCTACCACTTGAGCTATCGTGACCTCGATGCACTCGGACACCAACTTCCCATCTCAACCCCCATCTTTTGAATTTTCCCTCCTTTTTGCCATTTTTCAAATGTCGCGTAATCGGATTTTTATCTCAATTAAAAACCTTAATTAATTGTAATATATTAATTGGTCAAGCGGACCACGAAATTAGTGAATTTAATGATTTAAAATGAAGTATACTTCACTAAAGCTCTCCGTGGCCAATTCATTTGTCGTCGAGAATCCAATCCGATTACGCGACATTTGAAAAATGGCAAAAAGGAGGGAAAATTCAAAAGGTGGGGTTCAGATGGAAAGTTAGTATCCGAGTGGATCGACGTCACGATAGCTTAAGTGGTACAGCAGCGACGTATCTAGCCGAAGATCGTGGGTTCGAATCCCACTCGTGCCATTGACCTTTTTATCTCAATTAAAAACCTTACTTAATTGTAATTCGGATTATGTTAATTTTCCAGCAGGAATATCCCTGGTTTTAAAAGAAATAAACATGACAAAACCACAATGCTCCCTGTCCATACGATACTTCGGATAGAAAATATTAGGAAAAAATAATTCTTTTTCATTGTGTGACCCGGCTCAAGACATGTACATTGTGCGTGAGACGTCTGGCCACGCGAGTGGTGGCGACCGCTCTGCATTTTCACCCACCCTTCACAGCGCTCAGCGTTTAAACCGCAGAGCGGTTCCACTTTAATCCTGGAGTTCTGGAATAGTGGAATTCTCACAGGGCACGCAACAACGATATAAATGCACCGTCATAGCAAATCGTATCTTGCACAGCAATGGCCCTCCTCCCCTTTCTGCAATTAGCTTAGCGGCGAATGAAGCAAAAACTTTTCAAAACTGTATTATACATTCCCGGTTTCTTCATTCTGATAACAATAAGTCATTCAGAGGAGAATCAAATTTGTTTCTACTTCTGCGCACGCTTGCGAACTACGCTGACGGTTTATTTTCATCTATGCTCGATTGAAAAAAAGAAATCAAACAACATATTCAATAAAATTTATCTAATAAAGCACAATGCAATCGTAGTCGGCCGTTTGAAACTAATAAAAACAACTTTTTTTTATATTCTATAAGTTCCTACAAAACTATGCAACTGCATGTGTCACGATCTGTTCTCGATTCACCAAGACGGGCCCAATTCTGAATCCTTTTTATGAGAAACAGAGCCCCAGAGGTCTTGATCGAACCTGAATACAGCCAATCAGGTGCCTTTTTATAATAAAATTTAATTAAAGTTTAAAAACAATTTATTAAACACACAAGAAAATAATAATTAAAACCAATAAATTTCCTTTTAAATCTTAAACAAACAATTAAAACTTTTTATAAATTTAAATAACCAGTAATTTCCTACAAAGCGTTTGCCAGACCATTTAGAACAAGGGTGGATATGTACCCACTATTTCCAGTCAATCCTCAGTGGACCGAAGCACTCTATTTTAGGGAATATAACACTTTTGAGGATCACATACTTCTCTTGTCTCTCCTCTA